GCAGTTGGTCTAGAGGCGCCGTCGACAACGCCCAACATTTATTACTGTTCGCTTCACGATGTAATCTTATCTTATGTTCAGTTGAGTTGTCAGAAATAAATTAATTGGACCCAGAATTGGTCTCCGTATTTATATTTCTTTGAGTTTTGTCCTCGTCGATCCCGGTAGTGTTTAGCAACACAACATATGGTGGAAGATCCGGGTAATTGAAAATTGCAACCATGGCAAGAGTGTGGCGTTGTCGACGGACCACGCCTGGGACCCGCTGTCCTTGCCTAATTTAGGTAAGTAAAACTGTACATAGGTGGCGTCGATAATTATGTTGTTTGATTTTGGTGACTGAGACAGCAATGCGTATGATTTTTTTTTCTTTTCCTTCGATTGTATTTTGTAAATTATTCATTAGATCTATGTGACTGTAGGACTTTTGGTTGTTTTTTTTTTGTATTGAGATGACTGAAGTTCATGCGGACAAGAAAGTCGAGATGGCGTTTAAATATGACTTGTCGTCCGCTAAAATCAAATATACTGGTTCTCCAGATGAAGATTTAGATTCATTTGTTCAGAAGTACGAAGAAATTGCAGTGTTACGAGATTATACAGACACAAAGAAGGTGTTGGCTTTCCAAACTTTGATTGATGGTCACGCCAGAGTTTTACTAGAATCGGTACCATCCACTAAGAAAGACACAATTGACAAGATCTATCGCATTTTGAAAGATCATTTTGAGGGAGATTCATGGCGTTGGGGTGTAGAAACAAAGCTACTTTCCCGAAAACAACTCTCTACGGAATCACTAGATGATTATGCTTGTGACATTATGCACTTGTGTAAGCAGCTCAAGAAGTCGGAGTCCGAACAATTATCATTGTTTGTGCGTGGTTTAATTCCATCACTTCGGGCTTTTGTATTCTCTAAGGAGCCTAAGACCTTTCATGAAGCACTTAACGCGGCCCGTTTGGCTGTTTCTGTTCAACTTACAGCCAACGAATCCATACCTAACAATGTAAATGTTTTGAATTCCGGCCAGATGCTCGAGTCCAAACTAGACACAATAGCTAGCATTGTGAAGGATTTAGCAACTAAGGTAGAGAATCTGGAACTTAAACAAATTCCAGAAGTGCAGTAGATACGAGGCCTAACAATGTAACCAGTGGTCAATTTAGTGTGAATGAGCCTGGGTATGCCTATGATGAATCTAGATCATTCCATTGCTATCGCTGTGGCAGATTTGGCCACAAGTGGAGAAAGTGCTATGCTAAATATGACGTCAATGGACAACAGTTAAACTAGCTCCCCCATCTTTTTGGAGACAAAAGAAGTTGATTCAGACACTTAAAGGTGGGGCAAATAAGAGTAGGTCTGAAGATTGTGACAGATATTTACCATTTAGACGTGTACGAGTAAGTTGTGTTCCCAATGATCAATTCCAGACAACTTTAAATCAGTCTAATAGCATAACTGCAGAGATAGGCAATAAGACGATACAGTGTTTAATTGACACCGGTGCAGATATAAATGTTATTGATCATGAATGGTTCCACACTAATTTTCCGTCTTTATCCAAATCAGTGGAAGGAACACCAGTGTCTGATGTAACAGTTGCCAATAGCGGTAATTTACAAATCACTGAATTAGTAACTCTACCGATGGTTATAGAAAATGTACCTTTTACCGTCCTATTCAGAGTAGCTAGGAATCTCAGTACCAACATCATACTGGGTACACAGTTCCTAAGTTTACATAAAGCAGTTATTGATTGTGGGTCTGGTAAACTACACTTGCAAAAGAAAAGTCAGATAAGAGTGAAAGAAAGACAAGAAATTTCTCCACATTCACAGTCTGTAATCTGTGCAAAGCTTTCTGATCGACATGCAATTGGGTCTCCAGGTCTTTGTCATGGTGGAAGACGCATTTCAGCCTTGGTGTATTGGTTGCAAACACTTTGTCATCTGTAATAACCGTTGGTAATTGTGTAAACCTGCTGGTCATGAATGTACCGACGAACCTGTTGTATTGTACCCTCGTACTAAGCTAGGCACATTCTCACCGATAAATTCATACTGTGTTCATCAGTTTGATATAGTTGACGAAAACACTAGTGTCCACGTTAATAGTGTCCAATCGGATTATCCTATTGAAGTGCCTGTCGTAAATGATCCAACCACTGATTGTACGAGAAGACAAGAACTGTTTTCTCAAGTTAATCTGAATACAGATCATCTGACAGTTAAGGAAGTTGATCAAATAACTGATTTACTGTGTGAATATTCAGGTATATTTCAGTTGGAAGGAGACTCCCCAGGTTTTTATACAGGTGTTAAGCACGAGATACACACCGGTGACCATGCCCCTATTCGATCCCGACCTTATAGAACTTCTCCCCATATTCAAGCGGAGATACGAAAACAGGTAAGCCATATGCTTGACAACAACATCATTAATGAGTCCACAAGTAGTTGGAGTTTTCCTGTGTGTATCGTGCCTAAGGCCGGTAAAAACGAGTATCGATTTGCAATTGATTTTCGTAAACTCAATGAAATTACTGCTAGAGACAATTTTCCATTGCCGAATATCAATGATACCTTGGACAGTTTGGGCTTGGCAAAACCTCAGTATTTCACCACACTTGACCTTGCTTCTGGATACTGGCAAATTGGCCTGGCAGAAGATGCCAAACCAAAAACAGCATTTATTGCTCAAGATGGACTTTATGAATTTCAGCGAATGCCTTTTGGTCTTCATAATGCTCCGTCCACCTTTCAGAGAGCAATGCAAGAAATTTTCAGAGGGCTGAACTGGAAATTTGTTCTCGTTTATTTGGATGATTTGATTATTTTCAGTCGAACATTTGATGAACATTTGTCCCATTTGAGACAAGTCTTTGATCGTATTAGAGCAGCTGGATTGAAGCTCAAACCCAAGAAGTGTACGTTTGGTCAAGAACAAGTGAAATACCTGGGGCATATAGTTAACAAAGATGGTGTTGCCACAGACCCAGTTAAAGTTCAAATTATCAAGGACTATCCATGTCCTACTAAAGTGTCAGAAGTACGATCTTTTCTGGGATTAGTAGGCTATTACCGAAAGTACATAAAAGATTACTGTAAAATAGCGGAGCCACTAGTCAATTTGACACGCAAAGATACATCTTTTGTTTGGAGTAAAACGTGTCAAGATGCATTTGAAGAACTGAAACAAAAGTTGCAAGAACCACCTGTTCTAGTCTATCCACGATTTGATGGAACCGAGTTCATTTTACAAACAGATGCTAGTAATGTTGGTTTAGGTTTCATTTTAGCTCAACAGCAAGATGGTGAAGAAAAGGTGATTTCTTACGGTGGTAGGACATTGAGCAAAGCTGAGAGGAAGTACAGCACTACTGAGTTAGAAGCATTGGCAGTAGTTGAAGGTATTAAGAAATATACCCCATATTTACAACATACTGTGAAATTCAAAGTTGTGACTGATCACTGTGCCCTGAAATGGCTGTTTAACAAAAAGCAAGAAAATGGTAGACTTGCAAGATGGGCGCTTAAATTACAATGTTATCAGTTTGATGTAATTCATGTTTCGGGGCGTCAGAACTTAAATGCAGATGCACTAAGTAGAATAAGTTCCGTGAAAGCCTGTACTGATTGTGATCACTGTCATGTTGCATCATCGTGTAACTTTGAGATAAAGATAGATCCTGTGTGGCAGCATTCTGATTTAGATGAAATTGAATCCGATGTTTTTCAGGATCCAAAGAGTTCGGCAAATGAGCCTGCCGTCAACGTGATCAGAAATTTTCGCTACCAAAAAGGCAGACGACATGTAAATAATGGTGATCCAGTCAAACTAAATGTGCCTCCTTTTCCAAATGAACTAAAACTTGATCAGTTTAAAGAAGCATTATTGGTTGATGACTTTGCTGGGCCTATGATGGATTATTTGAGAAATGACAATTTACCTCATGATGCCAAGAGAGCCAGAAATCTATTGTTACAAGCTGACCAGTACTTTGTTGATAAAGATCTTTTGTACAGACAGTGGCAAGTCTATGGGAAGAAGACTACTCCTGAACAAGTGGTCACTCAACTGTATATTCCGGTATGTTTTGTTGACATTGTATTGAGTAACTGTCATGATCATGTTTTAGCTGCACACTTTGGGCTACAGAAAACGTATCATAAAGTACGCCAACGCTACTTCTGGAAGAGCATGTACCGTGACATAGATAACTGGGTACGCTCTTGTCGCTCGTGTTCACAAAGAAAGACACACAGACATAAAGTTGTAGCCCCACTTGTTACCATGAAAGTTCCTGACGCATTCGAAAGAGTCAGTGTGGACGTATTGGGCCCTTTGCCAATTACAACTTTTGGTAATCGTTATGTACTTTGTTTTACCGATCATTGTACTAGGTGGCCCATTCTAGTGCCATTAGCTACTACTAATGCAGCAACAATAGCCAGAGCATTGTTCGATTATGTGATATGTGAACATGGTTGCCCAGTAACCTTATTAAGTGACAGAGGTGCAAATTTCCTGAGTAACATTGTTCGTGAGGTTTGTCTCATTATGCAGACTCAAAAGCTCAATACCTCTAGCTATCACCCACAGTGTAATGCTGTACAAGAACGTTTCAATTCTGTAATTCTGGACACTGTGTCGCATTATGTGAATGAGTTTCAGACAAATTGGGACCAGTATATCACAGCTATACAGTTTGCCTACCGTTCAACTCCAGCAGATAACTCTATTGGGTTTAGTCCATTCTTCCTACTGTATGGAAGAGAGGCAAGATTGCCGTTGGACGTGGCACTCATTTCCAGACTTGATTATCAAGATAAGACACTGAGAGATCATATACATAATTTGGTTTCAAAGTTGGAAGTATTTCGAGATGTATCAAAACGTCACACAGAAGAAAACCAAGCAAAAATGAAAGAACGCTATGATGAAACCACTAAACAAGTAGAGTATCAGGTTGGTGATCTAGTATGGATTTACTTTCCAGTGTCTCAAAAAGGATTGTCAAAGAAACTAATGAAGCTGTGGGCCGGACCATATCTAATTGTACAACGAACGGGTCCAGTAAATTTTCGAGTAAGAAACCTTGAAAACCATAAGTTGCTGTCGTCACCAATACATGTAAACCGTATGAAATTTGTCTATGACCGATACGTTCGCCCAAATAACGACATTTTCCCTGCAGATCCCCAGCACAGAACTTCAGTAGACGACTTGGTACAGGAAGATTGTCCTGAAGACTCATTCGTGGCACTGAAAGCAAAACAGAAAACTAAGAATCCAATTCAGATTGTCCCCGGGTGGCACAAAATCTCGCCCCTGAAAATGATGTCGAGTTTGAAGTTGAACGTATTCTCAGAGGCAGATACAGAAATAACAAGCTACAATATTTGGTAAAGTGGAAAAATTTTCCTAGTAGCCATAATTCTTGGGAACCTGTAGACAATTTGAATTCTACATGCCTCGAGTACTTGAAGACAAACCCGGTTCGTATAACTGGCTGCAAAAAGAAGTAATGTACTTGCATTTTTAATGCCTACCAAGACAATAAAATCATTTGAAAATTATTGAAACTGATTGTGCTTACGGACGCATGTTGTGAAGAATATTGATTAAGATGTTATAATGATTAAGAAGAAGAATAATTTGATTAAATGGAGAAGAATCCATATACAGCATTGTTGTCGACGTCACCACTTAACTGTTTCTTTTGTGAATATATATGTTAAAAAAAAATAAGGGTCCAAATGATTAAAATTAAATTTATTAAGTTTTAAGTTTGGCTCAGTAGTCCAGCTTCGATGACAAGCCAGCACCTGGAGAAACGAGGACGGTTGTGTGAAAGTGAGCGAGGATGTGAGATGATGATGCGACAGTGAGACGTGGAAACCACCTGGGAGTTCTGCAGACTCTACCTCCAGAGAAAGGATCACCGCGCGGGATTCTGCTGAGCTTTCACTATCGAAGATTGATGACGGATTGGACGAAGCCAAACGAGTAGAAATTTGTTAAACAAGTTAATTTAATAGTTGAAATGTAACATTGCAGAATCCAAAAGAATAGAAATTTGTTAAACAGGTTAATTTAATAGTTGAAATGTAACATTGCAGAAGCCAAACGAATAGAATTTTGTTAAACAAGTTATTTAATAGTTGAAATGTAACATTGCAGAAAATTAAATATTCTATCAATTATCGTTCGTTGAAATTTAATTGCCAGGCGCCAATTCTGTTAAAGAGGGGGCGTATGTTGTGAAACATTATTGTGTTTCCTTTAAATGTGGTCTGCGGCTGCAGGGCCGATTGGAATTTAAGTAATGCAATTGTCATGTTATGCAAGACTGTCTTTATAAGTCAGCCACTGTATTGTACTCGGGCAGTTGGTCTAGAGGCGCCGTCGACAACGCCCAACATTTATTACTGTTCGCTTCACGATGTAATCTTATCTTATGTTCAGTTGAGTTGTCAGAAATAAATTAATTGGACCCAGAATTGGTCTCCGTATTTATATTTCTTTGAGTTTTGTCCTCGTCGATCCCGGTAGTGTTTAGCAACACAACACAGCCATGCCTGCAAGCGCCCGCGACACGAACTTCGTATATCGCGGCCTAACGGTACCTTAACCTGGGAAGTTCTGCACAAACTATACCTTGTTCGGAAGCTTGTGATCAGGCCAACATCCTGGCAAAAGGACAGGTCTTGAAACCCAGTACTTACGGAGAAAATTTAAGATATAGCGCATCAATGCCAGTATAGTACCCCTATGTGCAGTCAGTCTAACAGCCATGCCTGCAAGCGCCCGCGACACGAACTTCGTATATCGCGGCCTAACGGTACCTTAACCTGGGAAGTTCTGCACAAACTATACCTTGTTCGGAAGCTTGTGATCAGGCCAACAAGCTGGCAAAAGGACAGATTTTGAAACCCGTACTTGCGGAGTAATTTAAGATATAGCGCATCAATGCCAGTAGTACCCCTATGTGCAGTCAGTCTAACAGCCATGCCTGCAAGCGCCCGCGAAACGAACTTCGTATATCGCGGTCTAACGGTACCTTAACCTGGGAAGTTCTGCACAAACTATACCTTGTTCGGAAGCTTGTGATCAGGCCAACAAGCTGGCAAAAGGACAGGTCTTGAAACATAGTACTTGCGGAGAAAATTTAAGATATAGCGCATCAATGCCAGTAGTACCCCTATGTGCAGTCAGTCTAACAGCCATGCCTGCAAGCGCCCGCGACACGAACTTCGTATACCGCGGTCTAACGGTACCTTAACCTGAAAGTTCTGCACAAACTATACCTTGTTCGGAAGCTTGTGATCAGGCCAACAAGCTGGCAAAAGGACAGGTCTTGAAACCCAGTACTTGCGGAGAAAATTCAAGATATAGCGCATCAATGCCAGTATAGTACCCCTATGTGCAGTCAGTCTAACAGCCATGCCTGCAAGCGCCCGCGACACGAACTTCGTGTATCGCGGCCTAACGGTACCTTAACCTGGGAAGTTCTGCACAAACTATACCTTGTTCGGAAGCTTGTGATCAGGCCAACAAGCTGGCAAAAGGACAGGTTTTGAAACCCGTACTTGCGGAGTAATTTAAGATATAGCGCATCAATGCCAGTAGTACCCCTATGTGCAGTCAGTCTAACAGCCGTGCCTGCAAGCGCCCGCGAACGAACTTCGTATATCGCGGTCTAATGGTACCTTACCTGGGAAGTTCTGCACAAACTATACCTTGTTCGGAAGCTTGTGATCAGGCCAACAAGCTGGCAAAAGGACAGGTCTTGAAACATAGTACTTGCGGAGAAAATTTAAGATATAGCGCATCAATGCCAGTAGTACCCCTATGTGCAGTCAGTCTAACAGCCATGCCTGCAAGCGCCCGCGACACGAACTTCGTATACCGCGGTCTAACGGTACCTTAACCTGAAAAGTTCTGCACAAACTATACCTTGTTCGGAAGCTTGTGATCAGGCCAACAAGCTGGCAAAAGGACAGGTCTTGAAACCCAGTACTTGCGGAGAAAATTCAAGATATAGCGCATCAATGCCAGTATAGTACCACTATGTGCAGTCAGTCTAACAGCCATGCCTGCAAGCTCCCGCGACACGAACTTCGTGTATCGCGGCCTAACGGTACCTTAACCTGGGAAGTTCTGCACAAACTATACCTTGTTCGGAAGCTTGTGATCAGGCCAACAAGCTGGCAAAAGGACAGGTCTTGAAACCCAGTACTTGCGGAGAAAATTCAAGATATAGCGCATCAATGCCAGTAGAACCCCTATGTGCAGTCAGTCTAACAGCCATGCCTGCAAGCGCCCGCGACACGAACTTCGTATATCGCCGCCTAACGGTACCTTAACCTGGGAAGTTCTGCACAAACTATACCTTGTTCGGAAGCTTGTGATCAGGCCAACAAGCTGGCAAAAGGACAGGTCTTGAAACCCAGTACTTGCGGAGAAAATTTAAGATATAGCGCATCAATGCCAGTAAAGTACCCCTATGTGCAGTCAGTCTAACAGCCATGCCTGCAAGCGCCCGCGACACGAACTTCGTATATCGCGGCCTAACGGTACCTTAACCTGGGAAGTTCTGCACAAACTATACCTTGTTCGGAAGCTTGTATCAGGCCAACAAGCCGGCAAAAGGACAGGTCTTGAAACCCAGTACTTGCAGAAAATGTAAGATATAGCGCATCAATGCCAGTATAGTACCCCTATGTGCAGTCAGTCTAACAGCCATGCCTGCAAGCTCCCGCGACACGAACTTCGTATATCGCGGCCTAACGGTACCTTAACCTGGGAAGTTCTGCACAAACTATACCTTGTTCGGAAGCTTGTGATCAGGCCAACATCCTGGCAAAAGGACAGGTCTTGAAACCCAGTACTTACGGAGAAAATTTAAGATATAGCGCATCAATGCCAGTATAGTACCCCTATGTGCAGTCAGTCTAACAGCCATGCCTGCAAGCGCCCGCGACACGAACTTCGTATATTGCGGCCTAACGGTACCTTAACCTGGGAAGTTCTGCACAAACTATACCTTGTTCGGAAGCTTGTGATCAGGCCAACAAGCTGGCAAAAGGACAGGTTTTGAAACCCAGTACTTGCGGAGTAATTTAAGATATAGCGCATCAATGCCAGTAGTACCCCTATGTGCAGTCAGTCTAACAGCCATGCCTGCAAGCGCCCGCGAAACGAACTTCGTATATCGCGGCCTAACGGTACCTTAACCTGAGAAGTTCTGCACAAACTATACCTTGTTCGGAAGCTTGTGATCAAGCCAACAAGCTGGCAAAAGGACAGGTCTTGAAACATAGTACTTGCGGAGAAAATTTAAGATATAGCGCATCAATGCCAGTAGTACCCCTATGTGCAGTCAGTCTAACAGCCATGCCTGCAAGCGCCCGCGACACGAACTTCGTATATCGCGGCCTAACGGTACCTTAACCTGGGAAGTTCTGCACAAACTATACCTTGTTCGGAAGCTTGTGATCAGGCCAACAAGCTGGCAAAAGGACAGGTCTTGAAACCCAGTACTTGCGGAGAAAATTCAAGATATAGCGCAACATTCCCAGTAGTACCCCTAGGTGCAGTCAGTCTAACAGCCATGCCTGCAAGCGCCCGCGACACGAACTTCGAATATCGCGGCCTAACGGTACCTTAACTGGGAATTTCTGCACAAACTATACCTTGTTCGGAAGCTTGTGATCAGGCCAACAAGCTGGCAAAAGGACAGGTCTTGAAACCCAGTACTTGCGGAGAAAACTCAAGATATAGCGCATCAATGCCAGTAGAACCCCTATGTGCAGTCAGTCTAACAGCCATGCCTGCAAGCGCCCGCGACACGAACTTCGTATATCGCGGTCTAACGGTACCTTAACCTGGGAAGTTCTGCACAAAATATACCTTGTTCGGAAGCTTGTGATCAGGCCAACAAGCTGGAAAAAGGACAGGTCTTGAAACCCAGTACTTGCGGAGAAAATTTAAGATATAGCGCATCAATGCCAGTAAAGTACCCCTATGTGCAGTCAGTCTAACAGCCATGCCTGCAAGCGCCCGCGACACGAACTTCGTATATCGCGGCCTAACGGTACCTTAACCTGGGAAGTTCTGCACAAACTATACCTTGTTCGGAAGCTTGTGATCAGGCCAACATGCCGGCAAAAGGACAGGTCTTGAAACCCAGTACTTGCGGAGAAAATGTAAGATATAGCGCATCAATGCCAGTATAGTACCCCTATGTGCAGTCAGTCTAACAGCCATGCCTGCAAGCGCCCGCGACACGAACTTCGTATATCGCGGCCTAACGGTACCTTAACCTGGGAAGTTCTGCACAAACTATACCTTGTTCGGAAGCTTGTGATCAGGCCAACAAGCTGGCAAAAGGACAGGTCTTGAAA